TTTTCCGGTACCGGGAATTAAACTCACGACTTTACGCTTGCCAGGCAGGTGCTGTGCTGCTGAGCTAAATCTTCAGCCCCTTTATTCATTGATTTATTTATTTTGGTACCGGGAATCAAACTCACAACCTCATGCTTGCCAGGCAGGCATTGTGCCATTGAGCTATATCCTTAGCCTCTGGAATTAAGTTTTAACACTGTCTCCCACAATGCCTGAAGTCTTGTGCTTGAAATTTAAGTTATACTTGCTTTCTGCCAAGACAGGTATCTTCAGATGAGCCTTTTTTTTTTTTTTTTTTTTTTTTTCTTTTTTCTTTTTTGGTACGGGAATCAGACTGAGGGTCTTGCACTTGCCAGGCAGTCACTTGTGGTTCTGAGCTATATCCCTGGCCCCATGTGAGCCTTTTGGGGGGTGGCGGGTTTCCGGTACCGGAAATCAAACTCACGACCTTGCATTTGCCAGGCAGCCGCTGTGCCGCTGAGCTAAAACCCCAGCCCCTCCCATGTGAGCCTTAATATTAAATTGATTCAGCAATTTTTTCCAAATTATTTTTTCACTTTTCCTTTTAGTTGTATGTGTTTAGTGCATGTCGCAGTACCTCATGATCACATTCCTTGTGGGGAGTTGTGCACGCACAGCATATCTTTTTCCATCCCTTTCTTCTCTGCCTCCCAAGTAGTTTTATAGAAGTCCTGTTTTTTAGTATGTATGATGGTTTCCCCTTGGTTTCAAGAGGGATAGAGAACTGCTGCCTTTGAAGATGAATTAGATGTCAAAGCAGTGTCATTTTTTCCTGCTAATCTGATCTCCTTTTCCAGGCCTCTACTATGTGGACAGTGAAGGGAACCGGATCTCTGGTGTCACCTTCTCTGTGGGTTCTGGCTCTGTGTATGCTTATGGGGTCATGGATCAAGGTTACTCCTATGACCTGGAAGTGGAGGAGGCCTATGACCTGGCCCGTCGGGCCATCTACCAAGCCACCTACAGAGATGCCTACTCAGGAGGTTCGGTCAACCTCTACCACGTGCGGGAGGATGGCTGGATCCGGGTCTCCAGTGACAATGTAGCCGATCTGCATGACAAGTATAGTGGATCTGTCCCCTGAAGAAGGGAGGATGTGGCTGCTGCATTTCTGGGGGTGACTGTCATTGCTAATAGTACAGTACCCCATCCTATAGTGGAAGAAACCTCATGTATCAGTACCTTTTTTAAAGCTCTGGAACATTGGCCTCTATGTTACCAGTCGTTAACGAGCTGCTGCAGAGGTGACTATTGTTTCACTTTCTTGGATGTTAACATTACACTACTCACTCTTCGGCCTCAGCCTGTGTTGTGTCTTTTGTCCACACTGTCCCTCCTCCAAGCACTTTACAGTCAAATAAGCCCGGACCGTGGGAGGGAAGAGACGGTAATTACAGGACACGGCGGTGTGAAGACATTGTCTAGTGCATACATGAGTGTCCCCACTCACGAGGCTAATAACAAAGGAGAAGGGAGAGACTTGCCGTTCAGTTTGCAAAGAGATGAAAAGTTGATGAGGTGGAAAGACGCGCCGGGCTGCACCAGGCAGGGCTGAGAGGAGAAAGCTCTCGCCCTGGGCTGGGGGTGGGGAGGTGGGTATTAATTACATGCAGCAAAGCATGAGGAGGTAAAGCTAGGCTCCTAAGCCAGTCGGGAGAGGAAGGCTAGGGCCTGCATCCGAGAGCGCAGAGAAGTGGAGGGGAAAGCCGGAGTGACCACGAGCGTGGTGATCCTGTCCTTTCGGCCCTCTGCTGTGTTCGGCGCTGTGCAGTGGAGCGGGGAGAGTGAGCGTGGCCTCCCAGGCAGAAGGCACAAAACCTGCACTGGAATGTGTGGGTGGGAAGAGGCCCCGCTGAGCGTGGAGAGGCGCTGATCCACCACACTCGGCACTGGGGGTTCCCAGGCTTTGGGGGCAGCAGATGGCAAGGGCTTCTGTTAAAGAGAAGACACGAGGCAGACGGGAGATGGGCAGGAGAAATCATCGAAAAGCAGAGAGGACACGGTACAACCACCTTACAACCACCTTCTATTTAGCCAGAAGGAAGACAGTGGTTGTTGGGGAGACAATCCCATGTCATGTGAGAGGGCATTCCTAGGTTTTCTCCCCTCTGCTGCGCCTACCTTCCCTTTCTCCCCCGCCCTTGCAGTTCTCGTATTGATTGATGAGGGCTGTCGGCCAGGAGCTGATCCAGGTTTGTTAATTGCATTTGTCAAACGCAGGGAAATTGAGAATTAGTGAGATCTGAGAAGGAAGTTTGGAAAACAAATGAGTCTTGTGCCGTAGGAGATTCATTTTGCTGGAAAGTGTATCAGGAGCCCCTGGAGTCAGGGAGCTTCTAGCACAGATCCATAAGGACTCTTCAGCTGAAATAGCCGTGATACCTCCCTGCTGGGCGGACCATTAGCAAATGCTTAGGGAGGTGTGTGGCAGGCCCTGGTACAGTCATTTCATTTAGGATGCTAGCTTGCATATCCTTTAAAATATTAGTACTGTACTTTTTAGCCAGGCATCATGGTGCATGTCTGTAATCCTAGCACTTGGAAGGCTGAGGCAGGAGGACTGTCATGAGTTTGAGGCCAACCTGGGCTGCACATTGAGTTCAAGGCCAGCCTCCACTAAATAGTGAGACCCTGTCTCAAACCCCCCAAAAAAGTATTTTTTACCAACCATGGCAGCACATACCTGTGATTGTAGCACTTAGGAAGCTGAGGTAAGAGGATCATATAACTTGGAAGACAGGGCTGGGGATTTAGCTCAGCATCAAAGTGCCTGCCTGGCTAAGCGCAAGGTCGTGAGTTCGGTTCCCAGTACCGGAGAAAAACCAAAAAAAGACAAAAAATATATATATATAACTTTGAAGCCGGTCTGGGGTATATAGTTCAAAGCCTGCCTGAGCTATATAGTGATTCCCTGTCTCAAATAAACAAAAACTTAATACTTTTTTTTCTGGTGGTTCTGGGGGGCTGAGTCCAGGAACACAACCACTCAGCTACATCCCCAGCCCTTTTTATTTCTTGAGACAGGGGCTCACTAAATTGCCCAGCTGTGTCTCAAGTCAATCCTGCTTCAGCCTCCTGAGTGGCTGGGATTACAGGTGTGTGCCATGAGACCTTACTTAACCATTTTTTTTTTTTTTAAATGAACTCTTAGGAAAAATACCAACACCTAAAATAAGTTAAAACAGACCTGGAGCCGGGCGTTGTGGCGCATGCCTGTAATCCCAGCACTGGGGAGGCTGAGGCAGGAGGATCATTGCGAGTTCAAGGCCAGCCTGGGCTACAAAGTGAGCTCAAGACCAGTCTGAACTACATAGCCAGATACTGTCTCAAAAAAAACAAAAACAAACAAACAAAAAACAGACCTGGAAGTAGAGCTGAGTCCAGAACCTCTCCAGCCATGCCCCACAGCTCCCCTGCACCCCCTCCCCTGGGTGCCTGATGCTGCTTGGAACTCCAAGGAACGCATGCAAACCCGTGCCCCAGGACGCAGCCTCGCCGCTGGGAAGGGCATTGCAGCGGGGATTCATTACGTGACCACGGAGCCTCAGTCTGTGAACAGCAATTCCGGCTGGAGAGAAGAGCCGCCTGCCTGTCTCACACCTGGCTCTGGCAGTGGGCTAACTGTTCAGTGCAGACACCGCCTCTGCGCCACAGACGTGTGCTCAGTAGAGGACCGGCGCAGCCTCCGGGCCTGTGTTTCGTTCTGCCACATCCCTGCTCCGCCTCCTGGCGCTCGGTAAAGACTCGTGTAATGGAAGAGACCAATTTGTGGCAGGTTTTCTGGAAAGACAGTGGTGCAGAGGTGGGAAGAACTGCCATTCCGAGGCCAGTGCTCTCCGCCCTGTGCGTTTGCGACTCCGTGCTGCGGGGCACCCGGCCGAGCCGGCTCTGCAGCGTGTGGCCCCGCCTGCGTGGGGGTGACGGGTGGGGAGCGCTGAGTGGAGGGTACCAGGGCGCCGGCTCCCTTCAGGTGCAGCCCCGGGACAGTCGTCTTGACGGAGGTGAAGGAAATGACCTTAAACTGCTCGAAGATTAATTCCCCGGGCGCCGGGGACAGGGCTCTTTGGTGATGTCCGACGGTCTCTCCTCCTGCACGTAGCTCAGTAACACCAAAACCCGCTCCTCCTGTCGGTGATGGGGCTGATCAGATTAAAAGGAGAGCGAGCACTCCTAGGCCCCAAGCACTCTCTTGCTAGCAGGGAGCGCGGGGCTGAAGGCAGATAAATGGGCCTCAGCGTTAGGGAGGGCTGCGGTGAGCAGGTTGTGTGGGAAGAAGCGGAGAGGCGGGCGCGGGCGAGGGGCAGAGGGAGGGGGCGGCAGCAGCTCAGAGAGCCCCGTGAGTCACTGAGCGGCCCTCCGCAGCAAGGCCAGGTCAGTGCCTTGACACCCTCAGCTAGCGAAGGAGAGCAGCACCAAAGCCATGCGGAGAGGGGAAGGTCACACGTTCGAGAGGAAGTGAGAACCCGATGTGTTCTGGGCCTCGATTCTGTGTTCTGTTAGGGCAAGGACGGAGGGGCGGGTGGAGAGGGAGCCAGCTGGGGGCGAAGGTGGCCCTTGCCCTGCGGGGAGGACTGAGGAGGCTGGACCGGTGCAGAGTCAACACGAGTGCATCTGCTGTGGCCGCACATTTAGGCTTTTTATTTTCTCTTATTTTGCTGGTTTTGTTGGAAGAGCACCTCCTGCCAGGGCTATAATGGGAGACCAGGTGCTTTAAAACTGACCAGCACCAGCAACCTCAAGACACGATTAATTGCTTTATGATTTAAAACCTACGTACATTGCAGCCAAGCATCGCTGCTGTTTTCTGTTTGTTTCTTGCCTGTCTTGTAAATCTAGCCTCCTCAGGAAGCCAGAACCGAGTTGGGAGGGCTTTAGTTACAGTGGGCAAGGGGAGCGGGCCCACAGCCATCACGACTACTCTGACCCCCGGCTGCTGCAGGGCCCTCCCCCAGCACTCCCCTGTTCCGGGCAGCCAACTGTCCACACCCTCGGAGCTCCCCAGGCCCTGCCTCAGAGCCAAGTTCTGGCTTCCAGCGGCTATGCCCCACTGAAGCATTTCAATAACAACCATTCCTGAAATGTCCCTTTCGCAGTCGTTAGTGGGTCAGGCAGAAGAAATTCTACCCGAGTCAGCTTCTTGGCTTTTTTAAACTCATTTCTCCCAGAAGCTTTTGCCTCTGAGTTAGGTGCCAAGCCTGATTAACCCTTTACAGCCCAAGTCAAACTGTCATCAGCCATGAATAGCTGACCAGGTTTGTCTGAAAGAAAATGGAGGTGCACGCCTGCAATCCCAGCACTGGGAGGCCGAGGCAGGTGGACGGCCACAGTTTCGAGGCCAGCCTGGGCTACACGGTGAGTTCAAGGCCAGCCTAGACTACATAATGAGACTGCCTCAAAAAAAGAAAATAAGATACCATGATTTCAACCTTTTTTGCTGCCTCCCATTACTCAGCTCCTCTCTCTGCTGTCATTTTATAAAAACACCCCTTTTGGACTGGGGTGTTGCTCGGAGCCAGAGCTCACCCTTAGCGTCGGGAAGGCGGTGGGTCCAAAGAGTAAAATAGATAAATAAAAATATCTTTTTCTTTCCTCTGCAGAATTTAAATAGAAACCAATCAATCAATAAACCAAGCACTCCTGGGCTTTAATGGAACAAGAGAAGGTTATCACTAGCCGTGGGGGACCCAGAAAGCTGGTATCACAGAGGAAAACACAGACGGGAGGAGAGGAAAGGAGCCTGAGCGAACAGAAGACGAATGAGCTGCGGGAACAGCTCCCACAGCAATCGGAGATCCCGCACAGTGCAGGGAGGTGCGGGAGGCAGCAAAGAGACGATGGAGGCGGGCAGCGGCCAGGGGCTCGGCTGAGCACAAGTGGGAGAGGAGGCCGAAGGACAGCGCTGGGGAGTGGGCAGCGACAGGAAGGAAGTGGCTTGGAGCTAATGCACAGTGAAACGCGTCCCCCTGGAGGCAGACAATTTCCCCAGCCGCAAATAACGAACACGCGCCGCGCCGCGTGCTGCCCGCACTGTCACAGCCGCTTATCTTCTGCGAGGATCTCTCCCTGTCCGCACTGCTTATGCAAGGCCGGAAAGAAGGTTTGAGCTCCTCGCAGCCCCCTTCTCCACACAGCGAGGCTGCAGACAGAAAAGCAGAAAGCTCTCCCACAACAGCAAAAGGGGGATGAGACAGGATCACGGATCTGGCACCTTCTGTTGTGGTGGTTTTGCTGCTGTACTGGGGATGGAACCCATGGCCTTCGCACTGATCTACATCCACAGCCCATTTTTTACTTTTTTTGGA